CCACATATACTTGGATTTTATTATTCATAGTGTTGAATGTGAATACATTACTAAAAAGTTTAGATATACTGAGTGCTTGCATTTGAGGATGTGTGTCTTATTGGTCTTGTGATTTCTATGACGAGTAATAGTTTTTAGCAATTAACATTTTTTTTCCGTGCTTTTCTATTGCTTCTAATCCTCTTCCTTGTCATTGGATAACAATATTAGCTCGGTTTAATTGCAACTATCATATTTCTTTTGTACGCAACCAAAATTGTGATTCGTATCGTGAATCAAAATTCTAAATTTGAGAATCGTGAATCGTAAAATTTGACACAAAAAAAAAAATAATATTACATTTTTAAAATAGACAAAATATTGAGTATTGAATATTATTGTATTTTAAAAATAATCAATTGACATAATCACGTCGTCTAAATAAAAAACGCTAGTTTGTTGTTTTATTTTCATCTTTTGCTTAACTATTTTCAAATCCAACAATTTGAAAAAAAAAATTAATTAAAGAATCATGGCTATTCAAGACTCAAAATAGTGACACCCAGTATAGATAGGGTTACAAATATAAATAGAAAAAGAAAAAATAAGAAAATTAATTGGGAGAAAATATATAGACTAATATTTTGAAACAAAAAATTAGAACCTAACAAATTACCCAATAAAGAATTGAGAGTAAAAATCAATCGATGATGCGAAAGCGTTAATAATAATTTTAACATTAGACAATTCAAGGCGAGCTTTAAATGATGTCAAGGAGAGAGAACGAACAAAGAGATTGAATTTTTATTAGAGCATGAGTTCCTCGACAAATAAAACAACGTTGTGTTCTTGTTTAGCGAATAAAATAATATTGTTTTGTCAAAAAAAAAAAAATGATTGAGTCGTGTGAATCGTATACGAATTATATTGTGATTTTTAAAATTGTTCGTGTGCACTTGCTAGTTGCCCTAAATTTGCTTAAGTTGATCTCTGTCGTCTCTACAGTTAAAAGAAAAAACGATCTCTGTCGTCTCTCACTCACTCACGAATCTCTAACCAATCATGGCTTCTCAGCCTTCAAGGAAGGCGAAAAAGCGAACCAGAGTTGACTCGGAACAACTCGAACGGCTCGACTCACTCCCATGGAATTCCTCGCTTCCCAACGACAACGACGATGACCTTTTCTCTCTCCTCATCGGCCCAAGCGAACTCGAAGGAGGTCTTTCTCTTTAAACCAATTTCATTCTCCCTTTTTTTTTCGTAGTGTTTGCTTTTTATTGTTTAGATTTTCGAATAATTTGTCCGCAATGTAGAAAAATTGAGCATGTTTGTTTGTATTTAATTCATAATCAAATGGAGGCTAAGGTTGCGTAGCTTTCACGTTGATTGATGTGTATGAATGCAGGATTTTTAACACTTGAAGAGATTGATGAATCGGAGTACGGGTTAGAAGTTCTGAAACCGGAGAGAGAAAATTACGAGCATAGGTTGAAAGAGAAGACGAAATCAAAGAAACGGAAGCGAAGTGAAGGCGATGGAGATGTTGGGTCTGGTGGTGAGGTTGAAGAGAAGGTTGAGGAGGAGGAGGAGGAGGAGGAGGAGAGGGAAAAGGAAATGCAAGGAAAGAAGAAGAACAAGAAGACCACGAAGAAGAAGAGGAAAAAGAAGGAGAAGAAAATTGAAGAAACTGCATCAACAGCAACTGGTAAGAGTTATACTATAAATTTAGCATTTTGCTAAACCAATTTTAATATTTTTGATTTCTAAAATGTGGTCATATGACTTAATCTTTGAAAAGTGTTTGTGCCCTAATATTGATGCATTTTTTTTATAGGATCTTGATGCATTTTGAAATTGTGTTTGTGGGTGTTTGGCATAGTTTGAGCTTTGAACATGTTGATGTGACGGTTGGTAAATCATTAATATATGTTGGAATGTTGGGTATAATTGGTTAAAGTTTGGCATCAATATGGTTTACTAATATATATTGTGGCATCAGTATGTTAAACTTACTAGGGTAATGTTAAATCTTGGACATTTTGAGAAGGGGTACTTTTGTTTATCAAGGTCTGTGCATTGCTAACTCCTATTGTGCTTGGTGTGTGCTAAACTTCACCTAATGCATGTTTATCCATGCACCCGTTGAAAGTCTTTTAACAGTTGTGATACATCTCATAGCTGTGCCTGTGAATGGTTTGGTACTATAATAATTTGTAGTTGAGTCATCGCAAATTCAATCACATTTTACTGATGGATGTGTGTGTAATTCGAACACTTGGTTTCTGGGGAAGCAGAGATTTATTCTTTGCCAAACTAGTAGTATGGATTGGTTTATCAAAATGGTGAAGTTTTTAGATACTTTGTACTTTGAATTTGATTTGACTCTAAAAGAGGTGTTTCGTACAAAAATGTGCAACTATTACAGTAGTTGCCGAGGGCAAGGATGATGGTGATGGAGATTCAGTTGATGACACAGAATATTATTCTTGGAATGAACTGAGACTTCATCCCCTACTCATGAAATCAATATACAGGCTGAAGTTCAAAGAACCAACACCTATACAGAAAGCTTGCATTCCTGCAGCTGCTCATCAAGGAAAGGTTAGTCTCATCACTTTTTTTTGGATTAAATATGAGAGAATGTTAGTTTCATGACTAATATAAGGTGATAAAGAGTAATGACTAATGACAACATATGGTATGATATTAGTGCTGGTCAAATTTTGTGACAGGATGTTGCTGGTGCTGCAGAGACTGGATCTGGAAAAACACTTGCTTTTGGTTTGCCCATTTTGCAACGTCTTCTTGAAGAACGAGAAAAAACTGACACGCTGCTTGCTGAAAATGGAGAGGCGGATGAAAAAATTGCTTCAAGTGGTCTTTTACGGGCCCTGATTATTACTCCTACTAGAGAGCTTGCACTTCAGGTATTTCAAACTGCTTTATTGGTTTTCTTCAGTTCACTTTGCATCACATCTAATTAACATGGATGGCAGCTTTTCTTTTCATATTCCTTTATCATGGCGTGAGCTTATTTGTGCACTTAGTATAAGTGGCTGTTGCATTATGTTTGGAGCTGGTTGAAATTGACTGGTCACTTTATGCTTAGCAGCAATAAAAGGGGCTGCTTGCCATATTTCCTATTGTGTCATGATGTGACATTTACTATGAGACTTTTGCATTGTAATAACATTGTTTCATGATGTTGCCATACTTCCTATTGCTTGCCGGTATTTCATGGTTCAAGGTCATGGTATCAACCATTGACTCGGAGAGCCCTGAGACATATCGGTGGCAGCGTCGCGGGGTGGTATTGGGCGATACGACTTAAAAGAAAATGTTGAACATGATGAGAGATTTAGGTCATGCCACAACGTTGTGTAATTGTATCGGTTGATTCGGTAACAATAACTTGGCGACTCGAGATTGATTCGGATACAACTCGGTCGAGTCGTGTGAGACTCGGGGTTTCTATGTATTGTGTAACAGTATCATCTCGAAAGATGCCAATTCAGATACAACTAGGTATCAGTATTGGCCAATATTTTGATTTTTGAACCATGCCGTATTTAATACTATGGTGTTAGTAAGTTGTTCCATTGCTTTTGGAAGCTATTTGGGAAATTAAAAAAAAAAGAAAGGCCCAGAAATGGCCTAATTTGGCTGGTTATAGTACTGTTAGCACCAATTCAAGCCTGGTGAGTTATGAAAAATTACTAAGGTTTGTTTGCAGAGAGATAAGTATTGTGCAGATTTACAGGTCTCACTGACTATGCTGCTCAGGCCGATTTTATTAGACTTAACTGGTCCACTTCATGGCTTGTCTCTTCTGCTCATTAGACTTTGTTCTTTGTCCTTGTTATTGATTTTTTCTTGTCCTTAATGTGCACCCTTTTTCCAGGTCACTGATCATCTCAAAGTTGTGGCCAAAGGCACTAATATAAGGGTGGTTCCTATTGTTGGTGGCATGTCAACAGAAAAGCAGGAAAGACTTCTGAAAACAAGGCCTGAGGTTGTTGTTGGAACTCCAGGGAGGCTATGGGAACTTATGTCAGGTGGAGAAATTCATCTTGTTGAGGTTAGTGTTATGCATGTTGTAAATAAAGCATATACAGGGAGTTCATTTCTACCATTTTGTTAGCGTGCAATTATATTGCTTTGTACACTGACAAGTTGTTTTGAGCAACCATCACACCTTAACCTTCGTTCTTTCTTGCGAAAGCAATTAGGTAAATTTCTCTTTTCCCCCTCATATATTTGGCTGATTAAATTCTGTGGAACAAAATTCAAAACTCTTTTATTTGACATTTGTGAAGTTGCATGTGCATGTTTTAACATGTAATAGACCTTTCATTATTATTTTTTTTTTTTGCACAAAATGAAAAATGGTCTAGGAATGGTTGAGTTTGATGATGTGGATTTCCTGGGACACTCGCTATGAGTTGAAATTCCGAGGGTGGTAAAGTTTCAATAAAACATTACCACCATAGACTAATGGCAATAAGGATGAGGCAGAGAAATAAATTGAGGACTAGGTTTTTTGGTAGTGTTTGCTTTTTTGTGCTTGGCAATTCCATGTAGAATGATGGTGGAATTGAATATTAAATGATTTCAACAACGATAATTGGCACATATGATAGAAATATTTCTAGACTTTGCCATGAGCTTCATCATATCTGTTAGCTTGGGTCCTATCTCGTGTACCTAATGCTGAAGATATAAGGTTAAAGCTGCAGTGAGGACGAGGATCCATTGGCCCTTCAAAAAAAATAGGGAAGAAAACCTCAAATCTGTCACCACAACTATTATAGTCTTAATCCTGTCATTGTTGTTGCCAATTCTGTATTCAATCTTTGCATGAACACAGTAAGTTAATCACGTGTCTCCTCCTACAATACAGCCTACACCTTATAATTACCAGTGCAATCACTATACAAACCTCTGCCTGTGGTTAGGTAACACAGCTACTGTCTCACATCACCAGCTTTACCACAGCCAAGTCCCTGGCACTACTCTTGCTGCAGCTGTTGCCATTTCTGTAACATCTTGAATCCTTGATTCTTGTGTCCAGCATTAGCACACCTTATTTCAGCAAACTTCTTAGAACATTATGTTTGCATTAAAGCACAAATTCTCTCACTCGTAACAATGTGATTAGGCTAAAAGGAGACCAGATCGTACACTCCTATGCACGTATAGAGCGTAGATTTGTGTGCCTATACCATTCTTTCTCCATGTTTTCAAGGACCAGCAGCAACGCACTCCCCCATCTGCAAGTGTTATATCACTTAAGCAGAAAATTTTGACCAGAATTAGTTGTCTCACATTTTGGCTGTTGCAGCTGCATTCATTGTCCTTCTTTGTGCTGGATGAGGCTGATCGCATGATAGAGAATGGTCATTTTCATGAGTTGCGGTCCATAATTGACATGCTTCCTGTTACCGCCGGATCAATTGAAGGGCATTCTCAGAGTACAGATAATTGTGTGACAGTTTCGAGCTTCCAAAGAAAGAAGAGGCAAACTTTTGTGTTTTCTGCAACTATTGCCCTCTCTGCTGATTTCCGGAAAAAGCTAAAGCGTGGATCACTAAAATCCCAACCAAATGATGCAATAAATTCAATAGAAGCTCTTTCTGAACGAGCAGGAATGAGAGCCAATGCTGCTATTGTTGATCTGACAAATGTGTCAATTGTAGCAAATAAACTTGAGGAGTCGTGTATTGAGTATGTATTTACTTATTCTTTTGGTCTTTGGCATATGAAGCTCTTATAGTATATAATGTCTATGTATTGGGCCAATTTGACCATGGACCTCCGTACATAGTATTTGCATCTTACATCTCATACTTTCATTGTTAGGAATGAAATTTTCTGATATGCATGTACCAAATTAAATTGACTTTCAAAACTGATTTTGGATTAGTATAGTTTACACGTTTAAGACTCTATAATGGCTTTAGGATTTCCTTTTATAATGTCCTAACACCTAAGGTAGAGAAAATAATATTACTACTTAAAGATTCATACTAGACCTTGGTATTCATTCATATGTCGAACTAGTTAATCCCCCTTTATAGGCCATATTGACCTAAACCTGGCTGCATTCCTCATACACGTCTGGTTCTGGTCCTCCGTGATCCTGGTAATCGACAATTCTGTAGCCCAGATTGCATGATCCAAAATATGTTTAACTGCCATATTTGTTTCTCAACATTATTTACTTATGTAACAGGCCACTATACTAAATTATTGATTCTATATTAGTTGCTTGCATTGTGTCCATACTCTTGTTCCTTCTTTGTGCTTAATTTTTCTTTCTTGAAGAAGAAAAGACAAGAGGGTCTCTAGCACTTTCTTCCTTAAGAAAGAGTAGATATGGGGCCTTAAACTCTAGCATTTTTTTTCCTTAAGAAAAAGTAAATATCTGGGCTTTAAAATAAAGGAAGCAACTTGGATTCAGCTCAAGTTCGATACAATAGAAGCTTGTTTGAGCTCATACTCTAATTAATCTGAGCCAATGTTGAGCATAGGTAGGAGCTCACCAAGAAAATGAGGCGAATCATGGACGAAGCTGAGAGTGAAAAGGATGCTGAAACAGATGTATTTCAACCTAGAGGAGGTTGAATAGGTGTTATCGACAATAATGCCTAATTTAAACTTTATCCTATTCAACATGCAAAGCTCAAGTCTAGGATTTAAAGATGAACAAGGTTGATAAGAATTTCACTCTCTTTAGGAAATGGTAAAAGTTTGCCTCGTCATTAGCCTTTGTCAATAAAAGTAGCTTTCTTTGATTTTTAGGTGTATATGCTATAATCTCAAAAAAAAAAAAAAAAAAAAAAATAAAGTTTGTACCTGAGGAAACTATGTAGGTGGGCATGTTCTACCAGGATACTATTGGGGAGTGGTAGATGATTATAGGCAGCAACAACTTTAGAGGGGCAATGACTTCCAGGCAGGCAACTGTATTACTTAGGAAAGTACTACTGCAGAAGTACTAGGTCGTTTCTTGGCCAATTCTGGGGACACCCCTGCTCGACCCTCTCCCTCCGTCTATAGAGCCGGGCCTGATCATTGCCATACCTGGCTTGGCTAGGCTTGTTATTTGGGTTTAATAAGAATTTTTATGCACTCTCTTATCCACGGTAGTTTTGTTTGCTTTTAACGGTTTAACCTTTAATCATTCATATTTTCATGCAATGTTAAAAAGTACAGAATGCTTGTTTTATTATTTTTGTGATCTGTAATGCTATAACAATTCAAGAAAAAAGGATAATGTAAAAGGGTGTTAATATGTATTGTTCTGGCTAAGCTATAACCTATTTTGAAACATCATAATATATGAAACCACCTGGAAATTTCAGAAACCATTACCTATGATATGGAGTTGCTTTAAGCTGAGCTGTTTCAAGCAGCTCGGTTTTCTTCTCAAGCTCAGCTTGATCGGTGGATTTGTGATATTGTGATTTTACTCCAGCTCAAGGCTAGCTCAATCAACATAAGTCACTCTTCGAGCTGAGCCTAAGCACACTGAAACTTTGTTTAGATCAACCCATTTTCACCCCTAAATACTTTGTTGTGATGTTAATGACTGCCTGCAGAGATAATACTAGTTCAAAATGTGTTGCAGATGCAGGGAAGAAGATAAAGATGCCTATTTGTATTACATTCTAAGTGTTCATGGACAAGGCCGCACAATTGTCTTTTGTACATCAATTGCATCTTTACGACATATTTCTGCTCTCTTGCGCATTCTCAGCATTAATGTTTGGACTCTTCATGCCCAGATGCAGCAGCGAGCACGCTTGAAGGTTTGTTTTCCATATTTGTTTCTCCGTCATTTGTGTTTCATTTTTTTATCTGTGGGGTCATTTGGACACACCTTACATCTTTGCGTACGAGAAGGTTCTACAATTTTATGTTGCGCTATTCTAGTTTCTCACTTACATGCTTGAGCATTAGGTATTTTATTTAGGATGTATGCAGCTTTGGTCATGACAGATGCAGTTAAGTTTGTCTATCAGTAATCAAACCTTCAACAGATTTTATTAATGTCTTTTTGTTTGTTACTTTATGATCTGTCTACAAGAAATTTGTGGCGAGAAGCTGGCTAATTTTGCTGCTGAATTTCATTTGCTCCTTAGTGCCAAATTTAAGCAAGTGAAACTTCTCTTCAACTGTAATTTGTGGCACATATTCTTACTAGTTCTGCTAGGTTAATTTTTGGGTGCAGATTTCGTAGGTAAATGGATTGCGATTATTCTGTATTGATTCATTAATTTTTAAAGTTTTCCCTTGGGGTACATTTGGCTAGATGGAGAATACTAGAAAATGCTAGAAATAGAATATTTTTAAATTTTCAATCATGCTAAACAATTGACAAAATAATGTTCCCACAAATAACAAACTTCCTGTCTTGCAAAAAATGCAAGAAAAGACAGGAAAGTAGTGATCTAGAATCAATAATTTTACCCATCTTTTTCCTAAAATATTCAGTTCGTCAGCCATTAGTTAGGTTTTATGTAGTTTAGAGTAATTTGAGGAAGATTTTCTTGTAACTTTCCAAAATTTTCATGGTAACCAAATACCTGCATGAAAGCAAATTTCTTTTCTTTTACTTTCCATCATTCTTTTTCTTCCTAACCAAACAAACTCTTCGGGAATGAGTATCTTACCACTTTTGTTTTCCCCGTGACTGAAAGAACAGAGCCCAACTCTTTTCGGGCTATGTTGGCCAATGGAAAGAGAGATTTTTTAAGGGAGGATGTTGACACTATAAGCAACCTGAAACTGATGATTGTAAAAAAAGGTCATGGAGGCCAAGACAATGAAAGACAAGTAGGCCATGTGATCTGCGTGCGATAAATGCTGTCCATGTCACTTTATGATCTGTCTCTGAATTTTCTGGCTAGAAGCTGGCTAGTTTTGGTACCAACTTCAAGCGAGTGAAACTTCTGTCCTATTGTATTTTGTGGCACAATTCTTACCGGTTCTGCAAGGTTAATTTGTGGTGCTGATTTTATAGGCAATAGGACTGTCGTTATTCTTTATTGATTGGTTAATTTTTGAAGTTTCCCATTAGGGTAGGTAGTATATTTTGTTGGTGCTAAACATTCCGGAATATTACTTCCTAATATTGTATTTGTAATATACATCTGATTACAGGTGCACCACCACCTCTAACACTGCCCCGCAATCCTATTATATTATATCCAATTACAAGAAATCTTACAAAGTCCACCACAAACCAAGACCAACCACACACATACTGAACTCTGGTTCTCTTAAATTAGACTCGGGCCATCACCACGAACGCACACACACACACAACCATATTAGAGGGAGATAGGAGACCCAGATGGATTGAATTACATTTAGACATAATTAAACTAGATTTGGACTTGATTGGACCACCACCCCCATCACCACCACTATACACGTACAAAGCTAGATTCGGACCGCCATGACACACACACCACCAGCGCCATAATCTCAAACACTCACAAACCTACTTGGACTTTCATAATGAAATCCGTATAAATGAGTGGGAGAACTTGGTTGTGTTTTAGGCATTTGCACAACGCTTAGATGGAGACAAGGAACATTGTTTGCTTGTGAGAGAGAGTGTGTAGAGGTGTATGAGGGATGGAGAGAGAGAGGTTGAGGAGATTGCGTGGTGAGTAGGGGTTACTGTGCCGGGGGGGGGGGATATTTTAGGAATTGGTCAAAAAACACAAATTCTCCACAAAGAAACACTTTTATTAATATCACTCTCTACAATGAAATAGTTGGGATTACACTAATATTTGTAGGCTGTCTTTTTCCAAAATCAGAATTATTCTTGTACTAAAATTCTAAAAGAGTTTGATAATCTAATTTTTAAAATACTATCCTACTAAAACTCTATAACAATTTCTTAGTCAAACTCTAACTAATACTACTAGTCAAAAATATTTTCCCTAATTAACATAGTAATACTAAAACAAATAATAAAATTCAAAATTTCAATTTAAGATCATTCAAATCCTTTTTAACTCTATCAAGTCAAAAGAAGTTGTTTTGGGGGCAGGTCATGGGTATGTGGTGGGACAGATCACCTCTCTCTCTCTCTCTCTCTCTCGCGCGCGCGCGCGTTGATCATATTTTTGTCAATTTTGACCAGGATTTTGATGTATGAATGATTCATTTTTGAATTACAATTGTCGACTGTCTTATTCAAATTGTTAGGCTGTGGCCTTTTTTTGGAATAATTCAGGGCGTATCCGTGGAATAACCTTTTTTAAATGAACCCAAAAGTGGATTGCTAGTTTCATAGGTTCACTAGTAAAGAGAAGCATTTCCCTTGCTGGGAGTTGAATACTAAATATTTACCATGTCTACCAAATAACCCTTTGAAAACTATAATGAATGCGATTGGATGTTAGGATGGTGTTGACTGTTGCCTTATTTTTGCTTCTAAAGATAGCGATTTAGTTAGTTGTTTTTTGTGTTACATACATTGCTATACATAAATGCCAATTGCATGTTTGAGACTCACTTAATTTTCATAGGAAGGAGTAGGGGCATGATTCCACCTCTCTCCTCCTCCTCCCCCTAAAAAAAAGAAAGAACAGAAATTGAAGGACAGGAGAAGGAAGAATTAGCTTAAGCCTGACATATTTGATTACTTTGTGGGAGTACTTGGTTGTCTTGTTGAAAATATAAATCAAGTTTTCTTTTGGTTCTTCCATGTATCTATTGCTTATTGGTATAATTTCTGTCTGCTATGTAGGCAGTTGATCGTTTTCGCACAAATGAGCATGGTATACTTGTTGCCACTGATGTTGCTGCAAGAGGCCTCGATATTCCTGGTGTCCGAACTGTTGTTCACTACCAACTTCCACATTCAGCAGAAGTAAGTTGATATTAGTCCTCTTTCTTTTCTCTGTGCATCTGGTAGAGTTTGAACTGATGCTGAAGGTATTAATTTTGCTAGGTCTATGTTCATAGAAGTGGAAGAACTGCTAGAGCCTCTTCTGATGGATGTAGCATTGCTTTAATCTCGTCAAATGATACATCAAAATTTGCTGCTTTGTGCAAGTCATTTTCAAAGGTAATGCTTTTATAAAGATTAAAATCCTTCTTTGACTTCTGAGTGCATTATTAGCAAAGAGTATATGCTCAGAATAAATATGCCCTGGAGACACTTTACTGCAGTTTGTTTTGATCTAAACAATTTTCTGATATGAATTCAGAATGTTTTCATGTTACCCTGGATTACAATAATCATAACTTCAGCCATATGAATTTTGAAATACTCAACTGCTTACTTGATAGCTGTTGGTTAGTTGTGTTTTCACAGAGGAAGTTGTAGGCTAGTGCATTTGAGTCAAAAATGTTTATCTTCAGTGATGGATATCTGTCGTTTGAGCAAGCTGTAAATATTCTTTGTATAATGATATCTGGAGCTAGAGATAGAGACTGATGGAAATCAGTTTTCTCTTTCTTGTCCAGTAACCATTCTTAGTTGAGGGACGGTCGAAGAAGAAAGTCAGTCGAATGGCATGCCTCACCCTTCTGGGGTGGGGACTTTGATACTACTTCGGTCGCCACTAAGGAAACCCTTTGATTGCGGATTGTAGATTTGGTGCACAATTTGTTGTTTGTGTCTATATTTGGGTTCATATGGTTTTGTCTGGCCAGGGACTAGAAATGTTGCTCTTCCTAAACTCTAAATCCTTTGTATACAAATGCTAAAACATTCCTAACCATAACTCAAATCACATGTAAAATCTATGAAAGCTTAAACAGACTTGGAAAATTCTCCTGAGAATCATTGTTGGAAAGAATAAAGAATGATTCTCTCTCTCTCTCTATGGAATTAACACAAGCAGGCTTCAGCATCTAAATAGATCGGAGCCAGAGCATGAAAACAAGGTAGAACAAATTGCATCCCAAATGTGGAAAAGAGACCATCCCAGAGATCTCTGGCAACCTCACACTGCGGTAGAAGATGATTCAGTCTGTGCTACCTCTTTGCTAATACAATACGAATTCTGCCCAAATTTTCAATGGTTAAGATGTCTTCCAAAGCTGCTCTCCTCACAAAAGTGAAGGCCGGGAAGGACCCCTTACTTGCTAAGTGCTCCTCCAAGGGAATTCTGATCTCCTCACCCCACAACTCCACGGAGAAGGGTTTAACACTAACCATGGTGTTTGCAGTCGTCTTCCATTGCATACTCCCTATTTTGCACGAATATTAGGTCTATAGAGAAATTTGAAGGAAGTAGCCACCGTTTCCAACTCCCAATCATGCATATCTCTAAGAAACGGCTCCTATTGTACTCTCCTTTCCAAGAAATGGAGATACTCTTCGATAGAGCTCCCTTGTTGGATTTGATTACTATATAAGTCAGGCAATCGCTCGCAGTTAGATTGCTCATTCCACTGGTATGTCCAAAATCTTGCCAGGGCCTACTCCCATCACAAACTTCACATGCTTAGAAAAGTCTTCCCATGAACATCCCAACTCCTTTTCAGACTCCCACCCCATTAAGAAGCCTGTCCAGCTAGTAGACCCATTCATTCTCAAATTTAGCTTCTCTGACTCTTCCCCATAATTTATTTCCTTGCAGCACATATCTCCATGTTTATTTCTCCCTAAACTTTCAGATACAATACCGAGTCTCCTTCAACAGCCTCCAAGCATCATCCCAGTTCAATGATCAGACACGTAGATCTAATAAGTTCTATTTTTTATTGAGACTTATTGAACTTAAATAATATGGCAAGAATGTGTTGACATTGTTAAAGGAACCATTCGTAGAATATAAGTTTAGAGGTTGGAACAACATTCTTGTACAGGTATGGCTTCTTCAATTGGGAGGTGGTTGTAATTGCTACCTCTATCCGGTGGATGTTTGGTTAATTAACTCAAGAAGGCATGTTTTGCTCAGTCTCACCAGAAGATATTGAGAAGAAGAGGGATTTTTTGAGTTCTTCTTTCCATGATACTTAGTAATAGACCTGTGGGATTGGTCTTGACTGTGGCAGAATGGGCAGCTTGGTTGCTATGGCTTTTGATTAGAATGAGGGCATCCACATGTATGCTAGTTGCTGTTGCTTTTTTGTCGTCCATTGCAGGCAGAGGCTATTCCATTTATGATGGAGGGCAATCGATAGATGGGGAAGCTTTCCTTTTGCTGGATGCATGGTTGTTTAGAGTAGGGTGTTCAGGAGTGATAAAAAGAATGGCTGACTATTTTTGGGCTCCTACTTCAGTTGTGTTATATGCATCCGTTTGAAGCAATACAGTTGATTTGATTAACATGGATGCAGTGGAAGTGGTTCAACTGGTGGTCAGAACTGGGGCGTTTAGTGCTGGATTGGCTCGTTGTAGTGGACAACCTTGTGTATTAGTGAAGTTAGATTGCTGGTGCATCAGTTGCCAGATTGAGTGTCAGTGCCAGTTAAAAACTTTGGCAGAGCAGCAAGTGGTGATGTGGCCTCTCCGAACTATGAAGCACGGACCCTCTCGAGAAGGTGACGTATCCGTGTCGGACACCGACACTCTTCAGACACTCTTGGACACGTGTTCAATACTCTTTTATTCGTGTCCATAATCAAATGATAAAATTTTAATTTCGGACACGGGTTTGACACTTCTTTTATGACGTGTTTGATACTTCTTTAGAGCTTGTCTACTACTAAACAATAAACATCTGTTGAAATGTGATTAACAAAGCTTAAAAATTTGAGAAAATATAATTACCAACACTAGACATATTAAAGTTGTACTCCAAAAATAATAATAAAAATAAAATATGCATAAAAGTTTTAAAAAAGAGTAATTGAGAAAATGAGAGCAATTATTTAAATTATATATTCAATACACATTGTTTACAAAAAAAAATTAATGATTATTGACTATTAATAGGATGCTTTATTCTAAAAATTCACATAGATGAGTAGACATAAGATTTACTTATCATAAAATACTAAATCTTTTATGAATTGTATATCATTATCACTATATTTGTAATAAATTATATAATGTTATATATAAAATATAAGTTTTTGTAACGTGTCTCCAACGTGTCTGTGTCCTACTTTTTTGAGAAATGTCGTGTGTTTGTGTCCGTGTCGTGTCGTATCCATGTCCTGTGTCCGTGTCCGTTTCCATGCTTCTTAGCTCCGAAGCAAAGATGGAGGGTTTGTAGCCTAGACTGTGACAGCTTGAACAAGAAAATTAGGATCACTAGGAGGGGACTGGGACTGGGGGTGGGATCTACTCTAATGATAAGATAACATTAGAAGTTCCAATGGCTTCTGTACATGCATGTGGTCAGTGAGGTGGAATGGGGATGTATTTTTGGAAACATAGCACCAGAATGGGGAGATTGGGGGCTGCTAGCTGGATAAGCAGTCAAAGCTAGACTCCTATACACTAAAGTAAAACAGGTCATGCAAGGAATCAGGTGGGGAGGAATGGGCTTAGCCTGAACTCCAAACCGATGTGAAGGGATGCAGTTCAGGGATGGATAGGCCAACAACTTTTGTTTGAGGTCAAAGCTTGGCTTAACAATGTGCGCTGTAGGATGAGTCCTTGTGGGGATGCTTCAGAAAGATTTCTTGAAGGTGAGCTGATCTAGTCCAAAGCAGAAGAGAAGTTGGCTTTAGAGATGAACAATTACTACTAGACATTGTCATTCATATTTTCTCCAGTAAATATTGATCTTAGTCAGAACTTGATTGGTTATGTAGATGGGATATCATAAGCATGTGCTAAAAAGTGCTATCATCTACTTGCTGCATTTCATTATTTTTGTAGGTTTGAGAAATAGCCCTCACTTATTATTGTGGGAAGGGCCAGAAGACTCCTGCAGAGAAGTCAGTTTGTTGTCCATCTTTTACATCATTTTTGTTCTTGAATGTACTATCAGAACATTCAAGAACAAAAATTTAGAGATAATTAGCTGTCATTATCGCTATTTATTTATTTTACTGCCTATTTTTTTTTGCTTTTAGGGGGATTTTTGGGTTGGAGGTTGTGGTGATTGGAGTGAAGTAAATTTAGTAGTTTGTTTCAAATTGCTTATTCTGAACATCATTTAGTCTAGAACTGTTTAAGTTATAGAGGTGACAATTGCTTCCAATTTTACCCAGGAAAGTTTCCAGCTATTTCCTGTAGAGGCTTCATACATGTCGGATGTTTCAAAACGATTATCTTGTGCACGTCAAATAGACAAGATATTGCGCAAGGATTCCCTGGTAAATTGTACATTTTATTCATGGGTGTGTTTTAGTTGTGTACAGATCTATAATTCGAAGATTTTAGTTGCAATTTTTATCTTCTATTAGATTTATTGTTTATTATTGAAGTCAGTAGTCTTCTGGAGTGGTGTAAAGGTTGATGTGATTATGTATATTGATAAATACTTTTGAAGAAGCCGTTGCAGGAATGCAATGATTTTTTTGACTTATTTAGGAGAATTTTGCACTGCATATTTCAGCTTGGACATATAGAGGTTGATTTTTTATGCAGAAGTAATTTTGCTCCTCTTCTTTCTGTATGGATTAGCACTACGATTGAAATAAAGGAACTCGGTCTCATCAGCTTTACTACATGTTTCAAGCTAGTGAATGTTCTCACATCTGTGAATCTGGTTGATTGCACATTCAGTTGTTTTTGCTTTGCTAATGGTTTGCTGTTTCTGGTTTGGGAAACAAACAATGACTGCTTGTATACTTAACTTTCAGTAAAAATTAAGCCCAAGGTTTTTTTTTTCTCCTTTTATATTGATACTTGAAACAGAATAATACATGCAAGTCTAGAGAGAGATGATGATACATTGAAGAAGAAGATGAGAATACAAGGAGCCCCCAAAGATTCTCTGCAAACAAGAAAAAAATCAGCAGAGTTAAAAGACAAGAACTTTCTGGAAAAAAAAAATCAAAGACAAAGATAAAGATGGAAAACAAAAAACTAAAGCTGAGCAAAGACCCAAGCAAAAGCAAGCACCAAGTGGATAGAGGTCTTGAAGAGGAACCCAAGCATTGGTGCCGGTCTCCTGCCTCGAATATTGTTCTCTAATTTTCCTCCCACGCTGATTCTCACAGGGAGCAAGTTAGCTTGTTGAAATCACAAAACCTATGAAGTTGCGGTGTACATGAACCAAGCTGAACCGAGAAGTAGGTTGCTTAGGTGCTGTTTGAAATTTTAGCAAGCTCCCAAATGCAGCTGAAGCAGTTATATATGTCTTTAGCTTATTGAGCCTCAAACCAAACCAATTACGAGGCAAACTTGAATAGCTCAGTTTTCCTTATAGTCTAGGATTCTAATTAGCTTATCAAGCCAAATGCAAGATGAGCTATTGATTAACAAGCTTTAAAGCCAAATGCGAGATGAGCTCTATTGATTAATAAGCTTTAAAATGTGGATTCCATGGTGGGGATCTGTTTCGATCCTTTGTCAAAGGTAGTGGCATGCTGTTGTATTGTTAAATGTCAATGACTATGCATCACCCATCTTCTGATGCCTGTTGCTCCAACACCTGAACGACATATAGTTTTTTCCTTTTAATTGCTCAGTGGGCCAATGCCAGTGCTCATGTGTCTTTGCTTCCATACCCCCGGCCCCGGGGTCCATCACTTTTAAATAGATAAAAATCTTCATGTTCTGATTGTTATTAGTTCTGTTGTATTTCTTGTGGCTTTTTTCATATATGTTCCTTTATTCATTAAATTCGCTGATTCCCCTTCAATTCCATAAGCCTATGGATGCGACAGGGAAACAGGAGTAAAATAGTTCATAGAACAATAGCTGGATGAGAGAAGCAAGACAAAATCTTCCTGACGTCAAAGTAGCAATTGCAAGCACCAGTATTGTCTGATTTGTAACCCTTACATTGAATTGTAGCTAAACTTCCCAAAATACCCATCTATATTATTGAACCAACTAGTAGGAAAATGAAAAATATTAAAACATTAACAATTTCCCTTGAAACCTGCAAATATAAGAAATAATGCATGCTGTGAGATCCTCAGACGTTGGTCGTGTTATGTTGCTGATAAACTTTGCTGTATCGTCACTCTAAATCTTGGGGCTATTAGCATTGATCTACTAAATGTGCTTCAGACTCTTATCATGTGTGACCCAAACTAATAAAATTTCTTACTGGTCGTTCTTTCCATTACATTGATTGTGTTATCAGCCACAGTCAATAGCTAGATTCTAGTAGACTGTGTCCTTGATGCTCAAATCTTGACTTTTGGTAGGAAAGGGCAAAGAAAAGCTGGTTTGAGCGGAATGCTGAATCAGTTGATTTAGTTTTGGAGGACAATGACAGCGAGGAGGAGAGAGTGAACAGTTACAAGCAAAAGAAGGCCAGTTCTATTCATTTGAAGAAACTGCAGCAGGTCTCCTCTCACTCATTATGTTTTATTACGTTTTTAAGTGAAACCACTTCTCTTGTTTAGCACAGTTACAATCGTGACTTAATTTTTGCATCATCCTAAAACGCTCCATATGTATGAAACTGCAGGAGCTCCATACATTGCTTTCACGGCCATTGCAACCCAAGTCATTTTCTCATCGCTTTTTGGCAGGGGTAATTACTTTAAAAGCCTTTTTCATCTTTTTTTCACGCTGACAATATCATGGCATAACAGTTGACTTCACAATTTTGTCGTTTCTCCTTCCCTCTCTCCTTTTCATGTGTCTGGATCAGGGAACTGGTTGTTCTCCTGCTTAACTGCCTCAGTACATTTAACAATTGACTTGACTTTAACCATCGACTTTCTTTCTCAGGCTGGTGTTTCAACTCTCCTTCAGAACCAATTTGAAGAATTAGCTAATAAGGAGAAATTTGGTGATGCAAGAAACTCAGGTGAAAGCAAAAGAAGGAAATTGGTGATTGTTGGTCGGGATTGTGTAGAACCACTCCAAGCACTTAGGAGTGCTGGTCAGGAGGTAATTAGTGCTTGAGGAAGTTGTCCACGCACATTTACATTAATGAATTTTATCTGGTACACATGCATGAGCTCGATGATGAAGTCTAAATATGTGTCGTCTTTGTAATTGCAGTAGAATCTTGAATTGAAACTGATGATAAAATAGGATGATTTACTGCTTTTGAACTTGCAACCATATGTCTTTTTCGATTTGTCCTTAAAATAATATGTGTTTATTAACTGCTTTCGTTTCTCTTTCCATGCTTTAACTTTTCATGTTTGCTCTCCTATTCTCAGGTCATGGATTTGAAAGAGATTGCAGTAAAACAAAGAAATGTAGACCACTTCAGGAGAAAGAGAAAGGAGGAGAAAAAACGTATTTATTCGATTATTTCTATTTATTCGTCATTCTTACCCTCCCCTCATGAAAGCGGAGCGATCCTTGACTTCTGATTTACTTGTCCAGGTTTGCATGATCAACGGAGGAAGCAGAGAAAAAGGCTAAAAGGGAAATCCAAAACCAGCTAGTAACTTTGGGTGTAGATTAATTTAAGGCCAAGCCATAAAGTTGAAGACTAAAATTTTCAAGACCAATCTTGCTTGTATATTGTATGGCTTTGGGAGTATCAAAAGGATCAAAAAACAAAAGAAGAGGAAAAGGCTTTTTGTTCTGCATTAATTAGTGAGGTATGTGAGCAGAATTGCATTAAAAAGTGTAAATTACACTTTAACCCTTTTAATTATGGTTTTTTACATTATTTCCTCAATTATCTTGTTTTCTTTTTTTCATTTTGCCCTTGTCGAACATTTTTATTCTCATCTATGACATTACTTTCAAATTGCACTAATTATTAACGTCCGTTACAAACAAATTTGATAGAAAGAAGTTTTTTTTTTTTTTTTTTTTTTGTGATAAAAAAGTTGAAAATAGAAAATTATTTGGCTGCAGTTTCTGTTTTAGAAACTTTGAAAACTACAACAAAAAATGTTTGATAACCATGTTAATGTCTCTTATATGTTGTAGTTTTATATTAATTTCCTGCTAAAAAGTACATTAAAATTTCTTATAAAGTGTGATCTTGCAAAATCTGGTCTTAGAAATGATAAATACCCATCACATTTTGTTTCTGTATTACGAAAATAAATCAAGAAACATTTTCCACAAGAAATTGATTCGATCACGGTAAACATTTTCCAACACAAAGTTCCCACAAAGTCTTTATCCAATATAAAGTTACCAAAGCTTCAAGAAAAAACAAAAAAATCAAATCTATGCACAACACACACATACACACAAATCTAATATATATATATATATATACTAGTTATTGCCTTTAAAAAAATGGTCAACAATAAATATATTTATATTCATACTTAAAATTAAATTATAAACATAGAGTAAAAAAAAAATTTAAACACCGGTGATAGTGGTGGTGGAAGACAGTGATTATTGTGGTGGGTAGCGACGACCGTGGTGATGGTGGTAGTCATGAGTGGCAATGGTGATACTGATGTTGGATTTTTTGTGATAATGATAGTAGTAACAGTCATGGGTGACAACGGTAGTGGTTGTGGGTGACGATGATGGTGGTGGGTTGTGGTGGTGGGCAGTGATGATGGAGGTGGTGGGCGACGACAGATGATTCTGGAAGACAGTATGATGAATTGTGGTAAATAACGATGGTGGTGGTGGTAGGTGTGGTAGGGGTGAGTAATAGTGGATAACAATAGTGGTTGGTGATGACGATTAATAATGGTAAGTTTGATGGAGGTGGGTGACAGTGACTGGCGGCGATGGTGGGCAATGACGAATGGTGGTTGATTGTGATAGTGGACGACGTTGGGTGGTGGTGAGCAACAATAGTAATGATGGGTGTTGACGGTGGACGACAGTGATAATGGTAATAAATATAAGAATGAGATGAAAATTGTGGTTGGCGGTAGCGATGAACAACGGTAATAACAATCGATGGTGAGTGACGATGGTAGTGGGGCGACGATGGGGGTAGTGGTGGTGGTGGGGATGGGATGACGACAGTAGTAGTGGCAGCGGGGACAACGACGGTGGGGGTGTTGGTGATGGAGGTGGTAGGGTGACGGTAGCGGTGGTGGTGATGGTGGGGCGGTTAGTGTGGCGGTAGTGGTGCTGACAACGACGATGGTGGAAATGATGATGGGGTGGCGGCGGCGGCGGTAGTGGTAGCGGTGATGGTGGTGGGGTGGTTCCAAATATTATATTTTTTTTAAGTATTCATAAATAGTAATAAGTTTTAGAAGTACTTTTAAAAAGTTACTCCAAACACACCTTTAAAGACCTATTTTCCCTATTAAATTTGAGATGTTAAAAATTAGCCGTCGGATTAACTTTAGAATAAAATTTAAAAAAATTTTAAAAGTGAAAAGTAAAAGTTATTTTGTTTATTTTTTAAGATTTAAATTATATTGTATTTTATTTTATAGAGATATATATCGGATCTGAGCTGGAGAGGTAAGGATTGAATAAAGATGGAGAGGATAGCAATGGCATAGAGTAGATTTGAGATGGAGAGATCTCAGAGCAACGTCGGGGTTGTTTTGCAATACAGAGAGACGAGACGAGACGAGAGAAAGAGTAGGAGGATAAAAATGTGAGGTTTAAATAGTTCCTCCAAAAAAAATATGATTTTTGTTGCTAATGGAGTTTGATATGTTAACCTCATTAAAGTCTCCCTCCCTCGTGTGTGTTTTCGTTTTTTTTTTTGTTTTTGTTTTTAAAAACATCAATTTTATGTTTACAAATTTAGGGCTTATTTTCAAAACAACTTAAGAGGGAAAAAAAACAAAAATAAATATTGACCGCCTTTTTTTAGTCAAAAACTAAAAACAAAAATAGAAAACAAAAACGGTTACCAAAACGAAGCATTAATTCAAGTAGTTGAAAGGACAATGTAAAATAAAATTAAGTTTTTAATTAAGGAGGTTAAAGTGTAATCTATCCTACTAAAAAAATAGACTTGTTTATTTTTTTCTTGAGCAATGCTATTTGATGATGCACAAAAATAGTTTTGCACACCACCTGTCAAGTATAGATAATAAATGCAATGAAATCAACGAAAAAATTAGAGAAGACACAATTTATAGTGGTTCGGTCAATTCGACCTACGTCCACTCTTCAATGGCTTCAGTCGCCGGGTATTTTATTGATTCAAAGGTATGGAGAATGGAGATACAAGCTTTGAGAGGGAGAATGGAGAATCAAAGAAAATAGTAATCTCCGGTAGTCGGTTCGTCTTCGGTAAGTCTCTGATGGAGCATGTGTGCTTCCTCTCCCGGATTAGAGCCATTTTATAGTAGCTAAGAGATCATTCTTGTGGAGATCATGACATATCCTCAAGGCTTCTTTATCGCAGCTTTAGAGATTATCTTTGGTGGAGATCACGACTTATCCTCAACGGAAGGAAGAGGTTGGGGAGCTCTTCATGAAACGTGGTTAATGATTGGACCGTTTTCTTCCTTCGGTGGTGCAGATAAACTTCCCGTGCTCTCCTCTTGGTGACGTGCTAAGCAAGAAGTCTAACCGGCCTTGGGCTCCTTTGGCGGTGCAGATAAACTTCCCGTGCTTTCCTCTTGGTGACGTGCTAAGCAAGAAGTCTAACCGGCCTTGGGCTCCTTTGGCGGATTCACGATGAGGTTGGGCTCCTCAACCGGGGTTGGGCTTTAATACATAAATTGGACTACTTGGGCTTAACCCATCATTTGCCCCCCAATGCCCCATGTCCAAGGAGACTTGGAGAAAGAGGCATTGATTACATTTTTTTTTTTTTTAAATTTCTTCCATTTTATTTTAAAGAAGGCCCATAATATCTTGTTTGGCCTTTTTGTTTTGAAAAATGGCATATAACTTTCTTTTTGGCCACTTTGTTTTGAAGAGGGCCCATAATTTTCTATTTGCCTACTTTATTTTGAAGAGGGCCCATATTAGTCTATTTGAGCTTTTTTTCCTCTTTTTGAAAAACCCTAGACTATAAATATAGTCTTCTTCTTTAAATTACCACTTCACTTATTTTTAAGGTTGAGCACCCACCTCTTGAAAATCTTGAGAACTCAAGTCCTACCCATTTTGTTGAAGCCAAAGTGTGTGTTCTCCTTGAATCCTTTCAAGAGTGTGATTTCTTCCTTGCTAGTTGAGCTTCTCAAGTGAACAATGTCGATTGAAGAGGGATTGGTGGAGGTTGAAGAAAGCTGTGGATCTGAAATTGGAAAGCTGGACAGCGAAGGGGAGATGGGCGGCGCGAGGAATGGCTTGGACTGCGCAGGGAGACGGCTGGACAGCAGCGAAGGCGGGCTGGGCAGCGCGCGCGCGCGCGCGCTGGGGGCCTGGGCAGCGGCTCTGCGCGCGCTGGGGGCCTGGGCAGTGCAGGCGCGCTGGAAGGGGAGATGGGCAGCGCAGGCGCGCTGCTGGGCAACGCGCGCGCGTGCTGGGGGCCTGGGCAGCTGCCTGGGCGCTGCTCCTCCTGTCCTGGACAGCCCAGGCGCGCTGGGCAGCTGCCTGGGCGCTGGCCTTGCTGTCCTGGACAGCCCAGGTGCGCTGGGCAGCAGCCTAGCTGCTGCTTCTGCTGTCCCGGACAGCTTCAGATCTGCTGCGCTGGGCGGCTTTGGAACGCTGGGCAGCAGCATTTTTCCATCGAGGGGTGCTGAAAATCAGTCCAAGGTTTGTCATGGAGAGCTAGGCAGTGGCCTGGGAGCACGGGCTGATCCGATTCTCATTCGAGGTGCTGATTTGGGCGCCTTAGGTGCTGATTTTTGCGCCGAAAATTCTGCTTTGTGCAATATTGAAAGGCCAAGCACCCTTCAAGCTACTGGGCAACTTTGTTTGGATGAGCAACAGCAGTCAGACACACTTTCAGGCGTTGGGCTAGAAATTGCAAGCAGTAGGGAAGCTTTGGATGCTGCCCTTGATGATCAAGCCCTTGTTGTAGTTTCCCCGATTCAAGTTCTTCAAGACTCTCCCAATGGTGATTTGGACTACTCCTTAAGGCCCCGGAAGAAGAAACGTAACAGCAAGGTGGGACCTGATGATGACGGGTCTAAGGTGAGCACCCTTCATAGTTTGTTCTGCTCAGATGAAGATATTTCTAGGCTTGTTTTTACTTATCGCATCCCTCCGACCGTGTTGTGCCGCCGGGCTGAGTTGGGCGAGTTTGCTTGCGATGACTCTTCCGGGGATATCGTTGTCTACGAGGAGATGCTTGAGGCTGGGTTAAGATTTCCCATGTCCTCCCCCATTTGTCGAGTTTTGCATTACTTCTCTTTGACTCCGGGGCGACTAGCGCCCAACGGTTGGAGAGTCCTGCTCGGTTTTCTTGCCTTATGGAGAAAGGTGCACCACGAGGATGCTTCCCCTATGGAGTTTCATGCAGCATATAATTTGAGCGAAACCCCTACACCAAACAGGGGATGGTACTATTTTACCGTGCGGAGTGGTACAGTGCTTACAGGGATGCGCTCTAATTGCGGCGGCTGGAAATCTTGTTTCTTCTTTATCGGT